TGGAGAAGAGCACTGAACATCCCATGGATGGCCAAGAGAATGAACAGATTCGTGTTGGAGATGGTGCAGCCAGAGAGCTCTTTGGAGGCAAGAAGGATGGCCTCACATACTTTGGACATGTTGCGAGAAGGGGCTATTCCTTGGAGAAGGACATGATGTTGGGAAGGTGGAGGGTCAGTGAGGGAGAGGAAAACAACCAGGTAGATTGACACAGTGACTGCTGCAATGGGCTCTTGTGTGTCAGGAAGCGTGAGGATGGTGTAGGATAGAACAGGGTTCAGATCTTTTGTTCATATATCTCTATGAGATGTGCTTGATTTGACGGCACCTAACAGCAGCAGTTCACTTAATTCTGGAGGCCATGTTCCTTCCAATTCACAGACTGTTTCCTTGATGTATTCACTGAAGAGAACTGGTGGCACAGTGCTTAAACACAGTGAACTGAAAGGTTGGGGATTTTTTCCTTCAGCCCCTTCATGGAAGAAAGGTGTAGCAGTCTGTTTCCATAAAGATTGGCCTGGGGAGCCTTGTGAGCAGCTCCCCTTCGTCCAAGATGGTTGATACAATAAAAGCTTTTGTTTTAAAGTTCTCATTATACTGTTGTTGTTATATACCACAGAGTCTGAAGCAACTCATAGCTGACCCTCCAGTAGGTTTTCAGAAGCAGTAAACTGCATGGGAGGAGACTGCCCATCTTTCTTTCACAGAGCAGCTGGCGTACTGGAACCACATGCCTTTGGGTAAGCAGCGCAACTCCTTATCACTAACCTACCAGAGAAATAGATGGAGAGAGAACTGAAGACATTTTAGTTTACAGAAAACAGAGACTTCAAGACACAAGACCTACCTGCACATATAAATCTCAATAATGAAGAGGGAGGGAGAAGACTCTTTCTATACAATTCACCTTGGAAAAAGAATGATTCCATGCAGCATTTTGTTTCCTCTATGTGAAAGGCCATTTCAGAAAATTTAGGCTCTACTGGAATGAGAAGATAGACACCAGCCAACAACGATCTGACCCTAACTTTTAATTGAAAAGGGGAGAATGTTGGCTCTTTCTCTACTACAGGTCAGCAGGAAAGCTAACTAACTCTGTCCATTTTAAAGCCAGACATTTGTATTTATTAGGCAACGGATGCTAGTGTGTACGTGTGACCTCATTTAATCTATGTCTTTCTTTTCTGGGAAGAGAAATACGCATCTTGCAAAAGAGATAATGTATCAAAAATGTATGCCTCAGTATATGCTCAAAACGAGTTGGTATACTTGTTGCCATGGTTACCTGGATGCTGTCAGAAGGGGGCAGTTTTTGGAAAATGACTTCATGCTAGGAAGGTGAAAGGTCAGTGAAAGAGAGGTAGACTTTCAACAAGATGGATTGGCAGTGACGCAGCAATGGATTCAAGTATATCAGAGATAATGAGGACGGTGCAGGGAGGGCAGGGCCCCAGATCCAGTGGTTCATAATGTTGCTGTGAGCAGTAGTAGACTGGATGGTACCTAATAACTGTAAGGGGAAAGATGAGACTACATGGCTAATGATGATAATTGTACTACTGGAGGTAACTGCATCCAAGAAAACTTTACTTACCCATAGAAGGTTGTTTTGAGTTGAATCAACTTTAAAGTTTGGTTTGGTTTAGTTTGAGTTTAGCTTAATATAGTGATAGCCATTGTGGGGAACAAGGTGAGTGAACACCATTTCTCTGCTTTCAGGAATGTTACAAATCAGTGAGAAGGTAAACTGAAGAATTATAATATGAAGTGTCTGGAAGTAGTTCGGTGAGAAAAAGGGCTCAGATAAGATCACAAATGGAGGAGGGGGCATTGCAGGTCTTGAATGTCAGGAAGAAGAGTTCATTCTTGACTTGACAGACAAAAATCTGGGAGAAGAGGAGGATAAAAAAGAGTGTTTATTCATGAACCTCATCAAATGCAGGAAATCTGGCTCCTGATATCGTCTGATGTTAGAAGAACATGAACTCGACTGTTTCCCCAAGATTGGGGTGGGCGGGGGGAATGCATCGGCTCATCTGTTTGTCTCTTTTGAGATGTTTTTGTTTGTTATTTTCTTTAAAGGTAATGATCCATTTATTTTGTGTGGATGTGGAACAGAAAACAGTCACCACTTAGTGACATCAAATGACTCATTTGTATACAAAACTTCTTTGTATCCAAGAATAATCAGATTGCACAAAGAGCAAAGTAAAATATTATCTCATTAGAGCCTTGATTCTTAAGTCTTTGTGCCAAAAGGAGAGTATCTAGGACTACAGAGTAACAATTCAGTGAAATATCTAATTAAACGCCTGGGCTAGTAACAGGTTAGTAATGTAATGCACCTCTGCTCTAAAAAAAAAATAAAAAAGATGTCCTATTTAGAACGTTATATCATTAGTATTTTCAGGATGGATTTTAATAATTTACCAATGCAGCAAAGGAAACAAAAATAGCCTTCTTATTGAATGCTAATGTAACAGTAATTTGAAAAGATTAAAAGTTAAAAACATCTCATCAGTGTATTATATAATTTTTCATTAGAGTAGCGTGTGTGGAGTGGGAGGAAAAATCTCGGGGATATGACTTAGTAAATAAGCAGAGAAAAAGCCCACAAAACTATTAAGTAATGTATATAATATTGCTCAGTCTAATGTCTGGCACACAGTGCCTTACATAATAGATGTTATTATTTTTTAAAATCCATTTAAATAAATACATTTGTCTTCTCTAATTTATATCAGCCAAATTAGCTCATCGTTTGAACACTAGGCTGTTTATGTTAAAATAAGCTAAGTGTATCATGAGTCAATAGAAATGAATCATCTAAGTTAATTAAATCAAACAAACTTTCTCTTTTGTATCATCATATCCAGTGATGTAGGTTTTACAGAGAGATGAAATCCTGACTCATGAGCTTCGGCTACACTCACAATACTGTATTTATTAAGGGATGGGGGTGTGCAGAAAGTACATTTGTCTATTTTTGGTAAGTTTTCAGCAAGCACGCTTAAAATAAGAGATTTCTTCTTAAGCTCATTAGTATAACTGGAAAATTCTCTTTCCAAAGCATCATGATTAATCAAGGCTCAATATACATGAAGGATTCTTGTATTGCTTTTGGTGCTTTATTATCATGATTTCCCTTTTTTTGACTGATAGGGGCAGAAAGTGAGAGAACAGGAAAAATTCTAAAACACTAAAATAGAAGATCCTAAGTATCCTTTAAGTATCCATAGAGTTTCCTATGGCTCTACAATCAAACAATGCCATTGTTCTTATTTTCTCTGTGTGTGTATATGTACACGTATGTGTGTGTATGTGTATGCTTTAAAATAAACAAAGATATAACTATATTTTCTCTACCTAAAAATTAAAAGGTGACTGGAACATTGGGCATTAACTACTAAAAAGACTACTTGTTGAATCACACAGGCCTCATTTAATTAATTTGCATCAATGTTCAAATTCTGCAAACTGAAGGGGGGGTAAATAGACTTTTTAAGATTTCTTGTTCATTTCATGTAAGCAGTTTTGGTTGGATGACAAGCAAACAAGTCATTTGATTTGACCAGATTAGGCAAGGGGAAAAGAAAAATAATGCAAAGAGAATAAAAAAAAAAAGAAAGGTAGTGTGTCTGAAATGATCAGTCCATCTGATTGTCTCAAACAGACCCCAATAAAGATGCAACTGAAGCAGAGAATACCAATTTTATCTTTCTAAACATGCTTTACAGATTTTAAAATACTTGCCGATATCTGTATCATCTTATAAGTCATATGTGATTAAATGCTAAGTGCTCCATAGAACGTGCTACTCCGAGGCATTAGCAGCATAAATGCCACTTTAAGGAAGAATGATCTCTGCCCAGAGATGATGGATTTCTGCGGCAGATCAGTGAACTTACTAGCTTTTCCAGTGCCCTCCCTCTAAGCATTCAGAGGGCTGGGGTTGGATCTCCCCATTTCTCCCTGGAAATTAAGAGGGTTTATGTGACTAGTTCTCAACCAGCCATGTGCTTGTGGGCAAATCTGCCATATGTCACTGCTGGCTGGAGTCAGTGTCAGATTTCCCAGGCTTCTCCTTCGCTGTGGTGACATCTGATGCTATAGATGGTAAAGGTCCTGAGGAGGGCTCCGTGGATGAGGATGACAGGAACAGGGTGACCTGACAACCTGAGATGCAGATGAACTGGAGTTACAGAAGTCAGGAAAACTTGAGGGCTTCAACTCACCTGCACAATCTAGTCTGCCTGCCCTGACTAATAATACTCTTTCCTTGTCTGGAAAAGACAAGAGTCCAGGCACTAGAACTTTAAAAAAGATCTAAAGGGAAACTGTGTTGGGTGGCACAGTAAAATTTATTTGTCTTTATGATTTACATGTAGTAGTAATTAAACACATAGAAGAACAAACACTGTCAAGATGGCCATATGCAGCTTAGGAAGAACTGGTCCCAGTTCAATCATACAAATGTTCATTCTGTTTAGAAATGCGTTTCTTGTAATGGTTTTCATTTTTTTCAGTCCCCAAGGCTTGCACAGTTCAGTACAAACATTTTACTATTTCATCATCATCAGGCACATGATATTTACCAATTCTCAGCAAAAAAGCCCTTTGACAATAGCACGTTTCCAAGAAACACAACTGATGAGCTTATTAGTTTGATTCAGTTTAGCTATCAGACTTATACATGAAACATGAATATTAACAAATTACATTTGTCTTAAGATTTAACTTCTTTTAAAATATTTACCACATGTGTGTGTGTGTGTGCACGCGTGTGCACGCAAGGATTCCACTGATTTCTTTGGTTTTTAAACATTATAAATCTATCTGACCAAAAAATATATATATCTATCTATGTATATATAACTCTATTTGTACCAAACATCAACATTTTAAAAATTAAAACAAAATTTCAAAAGGTAAAAATGGAATTATTTCTTCAAGTTGAAAAAAAAGTCTGGCCCAGTAGAGTGTTCTTGTTATTATTGCTTCTATTGGAAAGCTACCCTGGAAAATCAAGGAATGTACCCCACAGCTCCCTCCTTAAAGTGTAATTTGGTTGAACATTGTCAGCTATTAATATGTTCCTACCTTCACCAAAACTATTTTGATCTTGCATTTAACAAACAAAGTGAAATAGCATAAATAAATAAGTTTACCTAAGGGGATACAATAAATAGGCTACTGATATTGTAACATAAAGCCCTCAGTGCTGTACAATTAAACAATAGCTTTGGAGTTTCATGGTCTCGAAAACACAGCTTTGACTTAGAACACAGATTTGTGTTGGTATACAGCTGACAGATTAAAAGAAGAATACATTTGTGCTGTTTTCATTACTTAAAAATGAAAACATAGTGGACACAGCTGTAAATTCTCCTTTTTGGGGATTTTCTCGGACATATACCATTAATTTCTGACCTTTGATGAGTTGTAGAACAACATAACAGTCCTTCAATTCTTAGTGGTTTCTTGGTCTCCAGAGAGCTACACAAATAAAGAAGAAATGAGATTCAAAAGTTTTGCTGCCTTCTTTTCTTTGCATCCATTGCATCCAGAATGGGCTGTCTTTTAGCAGTGTATCTTTGACGAAGTTCTTCTATTTCTCGCTCCATCATGGGATCCAGTGCTTTCAACCTCATCTGTAGCTCTTCTAAACTTAGGTTCTTTAACTACAGACAGAATTTAAAGAGATATGTATTAATAAAGCATCTTCACTTTGAAATGATCTTCATTACATAAAGTATAATCTATTATTAAACTTGAACATCTATTATTATATTGAATATTATTACATATGCATATTTCAGCAAACTATATTATAGCTGACATCGATTTCACAAAAATTTAATATAGAAATTCATTAAGTGAGGAACTCAGAAGCCACAATATATAGGAACTTCAAGTAATTTGTAACAAGACAAACAGAACCTCATCTTTTGGGTTAACTCAGTTACAAACTTCATTGCTGTCAAGTCAGAGCACAGACTCACAGCTGACTTTCCAGCAGGTTTCTGGAGGCCGAAAACTGCTCTGGATGAGACTTTCCAGCTTTCTGCTGGGGAGCTGCTTGTGGATTTGAACTGCCAGAGAAGTGCCACCTCTGGGTTAGCACCGCTGCTCCCTACCCACTAGACCACCAGAGCTCCTGTAGGCTAACTGCAAGTAAGAAAAATACGCTGATGAAACCTGTACCAACACATAAGCACATTTCAGCATATGTTTTGGGTATACTCAATCTAGAACCTTTACTGGCTATGGATGTTAGATCATGATGAATATTTGCTGAGGTCACCCCAGAACATAACAAGCTTGAACACAGAGCACATTTGCTGCTCTATCCTGTGTTTTATCAAATGGTTTAATATTAAACTCTTAGTTAAAATGAGTTAAGGTAATGAAAATATTTACCATAAACACCTTGATAAACAAGAAATTTTAAATTATGGTGTAAAACTTACACAAATAAGCCTGTGCAAAGTCTAACGTGAATTTGGCCAATTTGAAAATGAAGTCTATCAAACATACATACATATCTCTGTGTGTGTGTGTGTGTGTGTGTATATATGTGTAAGTATATATATGTGTGTGTGTGTGTGTGTGTAAGTATATATATATAGAGAGAGGGAGAGAGAGAGAGAGAGTGTCTCCAGTCAAACATGACTGCTTCTGATGGCCTCTGAGAAAAGTCACATGTCATATGTGCATGGGGACAGTATGTATTCTGCCTTATAAAAGGGTCTATTGCATCTTGAGCTTCACTGCACTTATATATACATTAAAACTGCAACATAGAGACTATTTCCTGGGAAATAAATTTTAGGGATGTCTTCAAGTATCTAATCTACCATCTTTGGCTGTCAGCTTATTAAAAGTTCTACAACTATCTCTTTTAAAGATTGAGTATAAAGGTAGGTAGTGGGACAACTATGAGATATCATCTCACCCCAGTCAGAATAGCAAAATTTAACAGAACAGCAAGCAACAAATGCTGGCGAGGTGGTGGAGAAACTGGAACCCTTATTTACTGTTGGTGGAAGTGTAAAATGGTGCAACCACTGTGGAAAGTGGTGTGGTGCTGTCTCAAAAAGTTGCAAATAGAGATACCACTTGACCCAGCAATTCTACTACTGGGAATATAACCCCAAAGAGACCATAACTGACACCGAAGCAGATACATGCACACCCATGTTTATCATGGCTTTGTTCACAATAGCAAGGAGTTGGAAACAAACCAAGTGCCCATCAACAAACGAATGGATAGAGAATCTGTGGTATATTCACACAATGGAATACTATGCTGCATTGAAAAACAAGGAACTCATGAAATATTATCCAAAATGGGTGACCCTCAAGGACATTACTCTGAGTGAAGTATCTCAGTCACAAAAGGGCAAATACTGCATGGTGCCACTGTTGTAAAACAGGACTGACATCAGGTTTGAGGGGGAGATTGAGAAGGATGGGTTAAAAAATGTATACTGCATTGAAACAGATGAGGGAGAAAACTGTGTAAAAGGGATATGTGATTAGGTATTATTTTCATGACGGAAATCCAGAGCAAAGGCTGCATAGTGGAGTGGACCTGGGGGGAGGGATTGTGTAACAATGAAATAATTTTTCTTTTACTTTTCCAAGAGGGTAGTGTACTGGGCGGGGGGGTTGGGAGGAAAGAAAAGTGCAACAATAAATGGATGGAAATTAAAAAAAAACCCCAAAAACCAACCAAAAACTGTTATAGCGGCAACAATTCTATCACTTTAAAAGATAGCTTTTAAAAAATCAGATAGACAACCAAACATCTGGATTGTAAATTCAAGGAAACAAGGGAAAAAACCCTCCTGACTGCATGCCATTAGGGCCAGCAATAACTATCGCAGCCTTGGGCCAGCTCCCCCTCCCTACCCCATAGTTCTGCTCTTAGAACTGGGGGCACCATAAGCCTGGGGCGCACAGTGATGCCATGACCTGGCAAAACACCTGTGATCACCATATAAGCCAGAGCCTATCCAGGAAAAGCCACTAAGTAGAAAAGAAAGCAAGCCTGCATTAGAGAGAAGACCCCATAAACTCTGTTCCTAGACCAATGTTCCTTCTCAGAGATGGGATCTGCTGTCTGACTCTCACACTGTGTCCTGTGCATGGCTGTACTGTTTTCTTCTTTCACTAATAAAGCAGATACTACTTGCTTAAAAAAAGATAGGTAGTGGGGCAAACAAGTGACTCAAAACATCTGTTCAATCATGATGCTTTACTTTGGGAAGATGGAGCCCTGGTAATAGAGCACTGGAGCACCAGCTGCTGACCAAAAGGGTCAGCAGTTGGAGCCCACCAGCCATTCTGAGCAAAAAGGTGAGGCGATCTACTTCTGTAGAGACTGACAGCCTTGGAAACCCTACAGACAGCTCTATGCTTCCCTATAAGGTCATAATGAGGCAGAATCAACTTGTTGGCAACAGATTCAGGGGTTTCATCTTGGTAGGTACTGTAGGAAAAGGTTAGAAATAGGGAACCGATTTCACTGCCCTCAGGAAACTTATAAATCAGTTAGAACAGTAGGATTAGCAACTACAACTATGTAAGAAATGAAGTAAGCCCTGAGTGGCATGGTGCATATTAAAGAACTTCTCATATGAAACATTTTGTATGTTCAGGTGTACATTTTCATTTAATTTTTTTTTTAAAGTTTCCTAAGAAAAAGAAGAGTGTCGTCATTAATTTAATGGAGAATAAGAGAATCATTGACTAGAAGGCACCTAACAACAATCTAAAACTTGGTTTTAAAATGATTAAATTTGTAGCTTATTACTTGTTTTAAAAAGTAACTGCCTTAAGATTTCTTTTATAAGCCAGAACAGAAAACACTTACTCTATTACATGCAAACCTCACTTTTAACCAAAAATAGCATTTCTCCACTTGATCACTTACTTTACTCACCATAGCTGGCCCTAACTGACTCTTGCTTCCAAAAATCAAATCTACTTTCAACAGAAGGAGATTTGTCACCACTGAGGATACTGAAAAGGATGAGTCACAGATTCTGAAAGAAAATGCAAAAGAAGAGCTCCAAAGATATTTTGAGGAGTGGCAGCATTATGGGAAAAAAGATACGAGCTTCCAGGATGACGGCTCTGAAGAAAGAAAAACAATTATTTCCTCTTGTGTGATTGATAGCTTATGAAAACCCGCTGAAGGGTCAGCTACGAGTGAGTCTGTTCTCACATGATAGAAGAAAACAACAACAATGATCAAGCATTTCCTCATCTTAGTCTTCTGAGTATCTTCAATGGTGAAGGGTCTGCTCATGCCACCTGCAGTTCTTTTCTGTGAAAGTTTTATATTCTTAGATTTATTCTTACAGATATTTTTCCCCCCTTGGGGGTTACTATACATGATATTACCTTCTTGATTCTCTTTTTGGAATTCCTTTTGTCAGTGCAGAAAATCTGATTTTTTTTTTTTAAATGTTGATCTTAAATCCTTCCACTTTGCTTCTATTAGTTCCAACAACTTTCTTGGGGAGTCTCTTGGGTTTTCCAAACCTATAAAATGGGCATAGTTTTACTTTTTTCTTACCAATATTTTTGTTGTTGTTGTTATGTGCCGTCAAGTCGCTTGCGACTCATAGCAACCCTATGTACAACAGTCCTAAACTCTGCTCTGTCCTGTGCCAGTCGCACTGTCTCTGACACTCCCATCCCGATTATCCCAGTCACTGAATCAATCCACCTCATAGACTGTCTTCCTCTCCTGAGCTGTCCCTCCACCCTCCCAAGCATGATGTCCCTCTCCAAGGACCGGTCCCTCCTCACAACATGTCCAAAGTATGTTAGATGGAGCCTCAGAATCCTTGCCTCCAAGGAGCCACCTGGTTTAATCCTTTCCTTACCAATATAGATATCCTTTATTTCCCTTTTTTTGACTTACTGCTCTACTTGAGACTTTCAATACTGTGCCTTAATAAGAGTACTGATAATTGGTGGTTTTGAAGAGGTTGAGGTAACTAAAGAGCAGAAGCAGCTGAAGAAGCAGGGATCCTTGTTTGGTTTCCATTCCCGAGGGCAAAGCTTTTAGCTTCTCTAAGAATACTGTTGAGTGTTGGCTTTGTACACATATGTTATGCTGAGAAATTTCCTATTTCTATTTTCTTGAAAATTTGTTTGTTTTAAAAATCTGCTACTGAATTCCAGTGACTAGAATTTTGTCGAATATTTTAACTTCTACATTGACGAGGAACGCTGGTACATAATGTTTATACTGCAGTGGTATCTTTGCCTGGCTTTGCACCACGATTATTCTGGCTATAGAATGAGTTGTTGTCATCGTTACATGCCATCAAGCACTATGAACAGTAGATCTAAACCCTGTCTTATTTTGTGCCATTCTCACAACAGAGTGAATTAGGGAATATTTTTTCCTTTTCTTTGTTCTAGAATAGAGAGCTCTTGTGGCCTAGTACATAAAGAGCTGAGGCACCCATCTAAAGGTAGGCGGTTTAAATCCACTAGCTGGTCTGGGGGAAAAAGATGGGCCATCTCCCCTCAAGCGATTTATAATCTCTGAAAACCCATGGGAGGCTCAGCTATGAGTTGGTTTGGCTTAACTGGCCATGAGCTGAACTGACCTGATGTCAACTCTTCTCTGAATGTTTGGTAGAGTTCTCCCATCAAG